CCAGAGACAAGAGTCCCCTGCAGTTACAAGGGCTATTGGGTTTTGTTTCTTTCGCTCAAAAGTGCTCCTCTGGTGCTGTTTAATTTCAGATTTTTAAATGGTTAGTGGTTATATAGATGAGATTAGGGATTATATAATTTTTCTGGGATTCTTTTACAGATTTTCCTGGTTCTCCAGGTGTGGTTATAGCAGCAGGATCAAATTCTTTTGACTGTGGATTATTCCATGTCTAGCTGCTGCTTTTCCTGACAGGAGACTGGAAGCATGAAGAAGCCAAGGTTCGATTCCCATAAAGCATCTTATATAGGTTTTTTAATTAAAATATATCAGTTCTCTCCTGAAATCATTGTTCAGAAGAACTCTACCATCTGCAGAACATCTTGATGAGATATAATTTTACTTTAGGTTTCAGGGAAAAGAGAAGGCATTTCCAGTTCTACAGTTGCAGTGGGCTTTGGACAGCAAAGCTAATAGAAAATCCTCAGACTGTTCAGAGCCCCAGACATGATTTTTCTTATATCTTCTCTCTTTGCAGTAGTAACTTAATTTGTTCTTCATTGGATACTGATACTTTAATGAATTACGTACTCCAGAGATCCCATTTCTATTCCTCTGCAATTAAGACTTTGTCCCTTTTTTTTTCTCTCTTTTTGCCAGCAATCCCCTGACACTGAGGATCTGATTTAAGACCACTTGAAGTCAATAGAGAGATATTGATCAATTTTAATGGGCTTTGAGGCAGAGCCAAAGAAACTAGCTGAAACAACTGCTAGCATTTCAGGAAAACCACAGGTTATGCAGCTGAATTTGGCAGCATGTAATTAATTACTGAAATTTAATATTGTGTTGCACAATACTTGGCTCTTCACAGAAGCAAGCAGGCACTTTTTTAATATTTCTGTGCTCCAGCATAAGACACATTTTACAAGTCATTGCCACGAACCAGAAGAATGTCTTTCATTATGTTCAGAATTGACTGTGCTTGGTTTCTGTCCCCATCAGAGGATAATGAAAACAGCTGGAGTTAAATTATTATAATTCAGAAATATCCACTGGCATATTCCTCTCTCAGTATGCTCTGTCTTGTGGAAATGAGTTGCATGGTGCTGAGAAGATCAAGGGCAGTTGTGTAGCAATCTCCTGACTTTTGAGCAGAAAATCCCCAGCCTCCTCTGGTCACAGAGCCCACCTCCAAACCAGCAGCTGGTCCCCTATTTCAGATGGTAGTTGGACTCATCGAGCCCCAAATACTTCCATAAAGGGTTCCCCATTTGCTGTGAGCCCCAAACTCTGAGCAGTCCGTGGACTGGCAGGGTGTGTGTTTGATAATAACTTTAATAAGCAAAAGCCACAGTGACTTCGAGTCCCTGATAAATTGTTATCCAGGGGATTTAGCAACAGGCTTGGCTGCAGGGCAGCACATGGGAAGAACAGCAAATCTGGTTTATGGTTCACAAAATTCAAAGCCATGAAATGCTTTGGAGACCGGCCTTCTGACCTGCTAAAGCTCATTTCAGTGACTCGGGCAGCGATGTTTTGAGGCTTATGGAGAATATAACAATCTTCTCACAAAAGTTTTCTTTGTTTCCCTTTTGTATGCTTAACTTGTCTGAATTTCATTAAAAATATGGCATTACTCTTCACTGCCATGATACTCGTCTGATGAACACGGGATAATAAAACCATTTGTAATTTCTGTTTTAATGAGACAGAAAAGGACGAAAGGGAGGAAAACTGTTGTGGTTTTATATCTTCCTAGACATCTACTTTTATCTTTTAATTTTGTTCTTTAGGGCAGACTCAGAATGATGCTTTTAATCTAATCTGTCTTCAATTATTGAATGAATCATAGTTGCCCCTTATTGATCTGTTGTTTAATCATACAAAATGAATAGTAGTCATTCCTCCTCAGACTGAAATATTATTTAGCATGAGAGAAGAAGGCAGGATTTAGCCAGAAATCTTATTGCTAGAGCAGTATTCTGCCGGTCCTGTGGCCTTGCACATCTCAGTCTGTCCCTTGAGATCCAGCTCTAACACCTGTATTTTCCTTTGGGCTTGTCTGCTTTGTGGCAAACTGCACTGGATTTGAGAGATATGCTTTGGCACGATCCCAAACACATTAAAGAGCATTTTCTCCAAATAATAGATGACCTCTGCCTGGGGTCAAGAGTCTGGCTGTGCCCAGTGTGGGGAAAGGCAAGGACAGTATCCTGAGCTCCTCTGAGCCAAGTTACGCGTTTGTATTTCTGTGTCAGGTTCTCTCTGCATCAGAACAACTTCTGCCACGGCTGCAGACAACACAACTTCCTTCTCAGCATGTGTCTGACAACCCACGGTAAGCAAGGCACCTCATTAAAATCCTCTTTGAACTTTGCTCTCCTGCTCTTGCTCTCTTACCAGCAATGAATGGCTGAAAGGGTGTTTTTACCGGTACTTTGCAATATAATTAATGTTTTCCTGACCTGTTTTTCATGTCTAGCAGTACCACCTCTCACCTTCAGTCAGCAGAGAATGACTGTCTGTCCTAAGAATGCAGAAATCTGGATTGGTCCATTGTTTCACTGAATAAATCACAAAGGATGCCTTGACATTCGTTCTTAATGCGGTGCAATCTTTATTTGGTCGGCCCTTTTCCTTGTTATCTTGTACCTTCCTCAACCTGTTTACCAGCTTTGCAACCTCCTCATTAAATGTGAAGAGTTATGCAACCCCTGAGAGAAGGCTCTGCATATTGACAAACGCTGGAAACAACACATCTCTTTCAAAGAGGGACTGGAACTGGTTTTCAGGTTCTGAGAATAGTGTGGGTTGGAGGATACAGCCTATTCCCACTTTAGGCTATCCTGTCAAATTCCCAGCTAGTGAAATCTCGTCACAAGGTGGTGGCTTGGGAAGCATGGCACAAGTTCTTCTCTCACCCAAGAGCAGCTGTTTTGTTTGCTTTGTGTTCTTTCCCCTGACAGCTGCAAGCCAATATACTGTTAGACTGCACATGGAAGGTGATCTGTGAGCCAGCTTCAAAGGATCCCTGGCAGAAAACAGGAACCAGAAGGGCTCAGGAAAGAACAGGGGGAACCAGAGGGGAGCAAATGAAACAAACCCAGAGTGTAAGTGCAAGAGTCTTCCTTTCTACTCACATTCCTGGTTAAGGAACTTAGTGGGAAGAGACCAGGAATGGGGTAAAGCAACCCAGGAGAAACACCTCCCACTCAGATAGGCAGATGCTGTGATGCTGGGGCATCAGAGCACGTTACAGCTCCTGCAACAAGAAGGTGCAATAACACACTGTGTTACAGGTGCAATAAGGTGTGCCTGTCTGCTAATGAATAGCCAAAATTCATAGAGAACATGAGGGTTAATACAAGATGGAGAAATATAAATAGGAAAGCAGCACGGAAGAGAGAATAAAAGTCTTGGTTCTACGCTGGCTGAGCTAAGTCAGGAGCTGCCCTAGACATGCTGAACTGGGAGCTGAGGAATCTGAACAGGACACACAAAGATTTAGATCTATTTAAAAATTAAATCAGGCATGAGGAATGTGAGCTGGATATGCTCTGTGGTGCTGTTTCCAGTCACTTCAAGATTTCAAGGAAAAACTGTCCCACTGTGCATTCATGCACCAGAAATAAAAGGACAGAGAGCTCAGCAAAAGTACCACTTGACAGCAGTGACATGGTGAACAGTTTAAAAGCCTCTGAATGGTTCTTTGAACCAGGAGACATAAGCAACAAAGACATAGAAATTCCGTAAATAATTTATTCCAGAACAAAATGTTCTCCTACTGACAGTAATAAATATATGGAAAATACACTTATTAAAGGTTAGGTGGAAAACTATTCTGAGAAGACATTCTTTGCAAATGTCATCCAGCCTCCTTGCATTTCCAATTTGGGTATAAGGATTTTATGTCATTTTGGCAACGGTGTAAAAATACAGATGGTTCATGTGTAAAGATTTATTTTAGAGAAATGCAAGTGGCATTTTAGACAGAGAAAATGATTTTGTTTATTTGCAAATCTGGGGCAAATGAAGTTAAAATGGGCCCAATCTGAAATCAGCATCCAAACAAAAGGATTTGAGTCTGCATCTAAGTTTTGAGGCTTTTCTTGGAAATAATCTCTCATCTGATGGAATTGTGAAAAGCTCACAGTCCTTGACAAAGTTAAAGTATGAAACAGTCAATTCATGGCAGTTAATGAGTTTCATTACAGTTTATTGCTTGACTTTTCTCTCCCTCTTTTTGTCTCTTGAATCGTTTAAAGAAAACTTACTTGAAAACGGCCCATTGAAATCAATTGATTAAATCTGATTGTCCTTTTTTCCCCATTGGTTGCCACTGGAAACGAGCACATTTAAAAAGAGCCTCCACTCACTCTTTGCAGTCTGTTCTGACAAAGGCCAGAGGGGCTGGCATTCTGCTGATGAACAGTTTCTCTATTACACTTCTTTCTGTCATAATCTTGGAAAACACCAGGTTATTCTAGCCAGCTTTTACCTTGCCTGGGGCATTGATTTGGTAACTGTCACGCAGATTAGAAAGCCAGGTGAGGGGATGGACCCAGGTGCCTCTTTGCAAATGATTTATGGAACTGAGTTGCAACTGAAACAATGAAGGATTTGCACAACTTTTCCTCTGGAATCTTGTCATAGTAGCCAAATACTGACAAAGTAGCTCTTTCCAAATTCAGCATATTCTTTATCTACCTTGATATAAAACGATTAGAATCATTCCCTAGACCACGAGCTGTTTGCCATGGTGAATGGGGTTCTGTGTGACCCTGTGGTCAGCTCTCAGAGTAGCAAATTAACAGGTCTGAGGACTGGAAGAGGAACAGGAGCACAATTAGTATGCCAGTCTGCTCTCACCCACCATGGTACTCCCCTAATGCCACTGTGCCTTCCCTTTTTTGCCTCGTGTAAGGCCCAGACACACAGACCCTACCAAAGTGCTGCCATTATTTCAGGTCCCCGAGCTGAGCCTTCCCCACTGCTGGAGGGCAGGACCACGTTAGCACTGAGTTATCACCAAGCTGGCACCAGGCTTCGTTCCAGGACAGGCTGATGAGGCTCCTGTTGCAGCAGCTGAGTTTGAACCAGGCTCAGGAAGAGGTAAGTGGAGAGAAAACATAGGTGTGCTTCATGTCCATTTATTGGAGGGGTTGTATTATACAGGGTGGAGCTGTCTGCTGGTGGCAGTGCCTTAGATTTCCCTTCAAGTCCCATTTCCCAAGTTTAAATTAACAGGGAGCAGCACAACGGGACAGCCTGGTAGAATGTTTCAGATTTGTGTGGCTTTCATCTTTTGGCCAGAAGAGAAATTTTTATGGATTACCAATACTTTGTAGTACAATTTCTGTTCAGGTGAGAGCCCAGATTTTTTGGTAAAATTTTGGCTGAAAAAGTTCAACAAGCACTTTTTCCTTCCCTAGCAGTCTAACCCCTTCCCCAAGATCACTCAATTCCTTGCCAAGTCAGCTGGGTAGACTTGGAGGAGAATTTGATTTAGTCTTTTGATTAGAGGACAGCTGGGCTTTGCTCCTTGCCTGTGCCACTGGCAGTGCCCACAGGGAGCCCCAGGGTAGCCCAGCTGCTGTCCTAGTCCTGCAGTGAGCTCTGGGCGGCATTCCCACCTTGCTTCTGACAATGGCAGCAGCCTGGACACTCTGAATTTAATTTCAGGACTTAACTGTGCTTGTTGATTGAAAATACCAGTGTTTATGAGGGGGTTTATATTGTATTTATTGTTCTTACTTGGCACTGTTTGTGTCATTTGCTTGTTCCCCTCAAAGACGTGCAGTGACCTCTTTGAGCTGAGGGTCCCCAGGGGAGGGATCTGCTCCCCATGGAGCCAGCTGAGGGTGCAGCCTGTGCAGGCACAGAGGCTGCCACCAAGAGAGGAGACCCTCCCCCAGCTCTGCTGGCATCTGCAAGGCTGGGTCAGGTTGCACTGTGCAGTGCCTGGCCCAGAGCTTTGGTTCTAAGGAGGACAGAGGGGTTGCTGCCCAGAGGAACAGGGTCGGTATCCAAATGACACTTTGGGTCTGTGGGCATGACAAGCCCAGAGAGATTTACAGTTACCTGAGGAGCAGGAACTGCTGTATTAGTATGATTTACTCCTTGGGTACAGTAGGTTTGTGTCTATGGATGGACAGAGTGCACCTTACAAATGATGCCATCATTTCAAGAGGAGGTTGCCAGGCACAGGGTGGGCAGGTGTAGCTTGTGAGGCAAACAGCTTGTTACACCCAAAGGTGATGTGAGCAAGGATGCCCCACTCAACATGTCCAAGTTCTGGGCTGAAGGAGCCACTTTCCTCCATCAGCCTTTCTCTGACAGGTGAGCTTGCTCTAGTAACACCGAAAAAATTGTGGGGAGGAAGAGAATAGGGACAGGAAAGGATGCAGCACCTAATCCTTTGTTCCATGAGACCATTTAACAAAACACTGCTGGGAACCCCTGGCTGAGGGCTCAAATCCCATCAGGAGAGCACTTGGGCTTTTAGCTGGACTTTACTGCACTGATGAGATCCTGGTCACCACAGAATCCCAGAATGGTTTGGGTTGGAAGGGACATTAAAGATCATCTCATTCCAACCCCCTGCCATGGGCAGGGACACCTTCCACAAGACCAGGCAGCTTAAAACCCCATCCAGCCTGGCAGGGATGAGGCATCCACAGCTTCCCTGGGCAACCTGTCCCAGTGCCTCACCACCCTCTGGTCAAAGGATTTTCTCCTAACATTTGATCTCAATCTCTCCTCTTTTAGTTAAAAACTGTTGCCCTTGTCCCATCATTATCAGGCCATGTAAAAAGCCCTTCTCCTTCTTTTTTTCAGGTTCTTCCTGTTTGCACTGTTTCAGCTTTGAACAGTAGCAACTGCTATGAATTTGAAGTCTTTTCAAGTCTGTTTGGTGAGTACAAATTCACAAGACTGGAGGGTTTCTTGAGAGCATGGGAAGGAGAGAAATTACTTGTGAATTTCAGTTCAACTTTGGAAACAGATTCTGCTAGAGGGGAAAAGAAAAAGCGATATTAAAAACATGTATCTCCTCAGCATTTTGAAAAAGATTGGCTCCAAAGTTGTCTAGATATTTAATTTTCATGTTGCTGTTTTCTCTCTTAAAAAGCAGCCTTGGCTTTTCACACTGGCATGTTATATTTTCAGTAGAAAAGCCGAAGTAACCCCAGATGGGCAAAGCTCAGCCCTGAATTAAATTTTTGTTGTTTCCTTTTTTGCTTTACTCCAGTCAACTCCCTCTTTTTTGTAATGTTTATCTTAAGCCAAGATACTACTTTTGTAATGATAATAGAGACATTGCACAGGTTTTATGTTACAGAGCTATTTTTTGGCTAACTATGGATCCATTTAAAGGCTTCATTCAGTTCCAGCTCTGCTCTGGGATGGTATTCAATAAATAAATGTAAGGGGCAGGAAAAATCATGCTTTTTTTACTGACTGGTGCCAAAACAAAACAAAAAACAAACCCGAACTTTAAACCCAACCAACAGAGTTTTCACAGCATTTTCAGGTATGCTGAATTGTTAAGAAAAAAAAAAATTGTCCAGGAATACGGGCCAGAAACACGGTGTGGTGTCAGCAGTGAGAGCATTACTGATTATCCACGGCAGCAGGTCCCTTGCTCAGCTCATAAGGAGCTAGAATTCATGCCTTCCCTCACCTTAAAATAAAACCTGCACGATCCCTCGGCAGTGTGGGGATCTTTATGCTGAGAAGAGTTACAGGAGGAGCAGAAGCAGAGGCATGCAGAGGAGAGACAGCTGATTGAGAGCAGTGCCTTAATTCTGTGCATTGCTGCCTGGTTAAAACAGCATGAGGAGAGAGGCATGCTTTTATCAAGCACAATGAACACACACAGTGCTCTTGAATTGTTTCTCCCTGGCTTTTAAATGTGTCAATATTTGTTCCAGTGCCATTCTTTTGTTTGGGAAATGCTCAGCTGCCGTTCCCTGTAGCTTCAGTTAATTTTGCTCCCCAGCCTTTGTCATCACAGATCCATTTATTCCAGGCTCAGTCTGAAATTTGTGTGCTGGTAACCCAGGGATGTAGCAGGTGGGTCAGGAACACCTTTACTGATGGCTTTAAATAGAAGGAAAAATTCTTAGCCAGATGCACAATCAAATCCCAGGCGAGGAAGAGGGACATGCACATCAGACAGTGATGCAGGGTTTAACTCTTAATGCTTGCACTCCACTCCCTTCCTGAGGAGTATGTTGTCCTCAGGAGAAGGGAAAAAGAAAAGGAAAGGGAAAAGTGAGCTTTCTCTGGCTGTTTGGATGCTGTGTACAGCAGAAGCAACCTCAATCATTAGTTGAAGCTTGTAAATCCCATGTGAGCAGTAGAAAACCTTCTAGAAAGACAATCAGCTCAGATCTTATAATGTTTAGAAGGATTTTAAGCAACAGAAAATCTGTATTCTCAGAGTAGAGCTCTAATGTCCAATTAACTTCATAGCTGATGTCCTGTGCCTTTTTGCTAGCAATAATTTATCCAGCTCCAGCTCTGGCCTCCAGCTCTCATTATGCCTTTTGTAGATTAATAGTCCCTCCATTATCGGATGTTCTCATCACGTCTGTATGAATTGGAACATCTTCACCTTTTAACCTCCCCTTGGATGAACTCATACTGGGGTCCTTTGAGTGTTTCCTGATAACAGTGAGTTCTAGGAAAGGCAGCTGAGAGAGACCAAGTAGCAAGGCAAACACCCAGCCCCCAACCATGGTGCCATCAGTGGCAGGAGAGGGGCAGGCACAACCAACAACAGGTCCAACAACAGGGTTTTCCTGACTGTTGGAGGGAGATGGGGTGTCTGGGAAGGGCAGGCTACCTGTGCACTTCAGGACATGGGATGGTTTAGGTCTGAGCAGTGGGGCCAGAAGGTGAGGACAGGTCTGGAAAAATGTCTCTGTAAGGGACTGCAGCTGATCCATCAACAAGATGTGAGAGCTGCCACTAAACTGGGCTTTGGCCTTGCTGTTAATGAGGCTGGATCATTTACCATCTAACATTCCTCTCCTTTGGGGTGTATTCCTCTGTTTTGATATCCCAGGGTCCTGCCCAGCCTCTGTCAGCTAGAAGCCACCAAAGCCTTCTTTAGCATGCAGCCTTAGGTGGTGGTGGCTGTGGGACCACTCTCTCTCTCTCAGCTTCCTCCAAGCACTACTCACTTATATCACAAGGCTAAAGCTGCTCCACGAGACAGTTTTGCATTTGACAAGTGGTGATTTGGGATCTGTGGCCATTTGTGCTCAGCCAAGGCTGCAGGAAGGCTGGCTGCCTTGTGAGCAGGGGTATCTGCTCTTCTTTCCTCTGCAGTACAGGTCATCACTTCATCCTCTGGCTGCAGCTCTGCTGCTGCTCTGTGGGCTCTGACCTAGCCCTTGTGACATCTGCAAATCTTATAAAGCAACCGAGCAAACCTTTCCCCTGAGCTGGTGTGGTAACCTTTCCCTCTCTCAGGTACGTGTCACCTACATCTGAGCTTGCTTTCTGCAGGGTATTGCTTTTGTGTATACTGTTTTCTTTAAACCAAATGCCATGTGGCAGTGCAGTAAATGCTTTACAAAAGCTTATATATAGATCAGTGCAAGTTTCTTGATCAACCACATTTGCAACTCATGAAAAATTAAGATGTGTTTGTGTGTGAATGTTCATAACTGTAAATATTTCTATTCGAGACAAAGTACCTGGGGCTGATTAGAAAAGCCTGAGTGCAAGACTGTTGGAAGGGTACAGATATAATGTGCTAGAAAGGAGGAACATGCCTTCTTAGAAAATACTCCCAGGCCTTGTGTGTGCGTTGGATTTGTGTTTGTAAACCAATCACCTTTTCTAACTACTTTCCAATAATTTGTGTAGATGAAAAGGTAATTTTCATTTCAATGTTCTCCATTGGACTTAATTTCTATGGAAGTCAATAGGATTATATTTTTGTGCAAATGATTTTCAGAGTAATTCACTCCCTCTTTTGATTTATTTCTGTATTAGTTTATGTTAGTTTTACTCAAGAACATTTTAAATACTTAGTCATCTTTTTGCAAAAAGGAACATCCTTTTTATACCTGATTACACCCATTAAACCTAATTGTTATACAGGGCAGCCAGGGCTTTAAAAAAAGGTGATGAGATGCTGATGTGGATAGTATACAAAAATCATGCAGTGTAATCATGCTAATCAAATCAAACCCTACCAGATTCCTATTGATTGTCCAGGGCAGGATATTGGTAAATCTGATTCCCAGCTTACAGGATGGGGCTTTCTCAGTGGGACACTGCTGTGTGGCCTTTGATATCTGCTCTGGACCGAGTCTCTGCAAGCTGGGGATCTGTCCCATCAGCCTCTGTGAAGGCACCTTTGCCTGAATAAAGGTGGGTGCAGAGTTTAGTTGGTGCTGGGCACAGCATGGTACCAGTGGGAGGACAGTAATTCCACATGGCTAGTTATCCACACTGCAATTATGACTGGTACTCGCTGTCCTGAACAGCCTTGCTCTAGCTAATACCTTGGAGAAACAAGAAATATTTGTTACCTGACAACAAAGGTCTGCAAAACCTTTCTCGAGGTTCCACTTCTTTCTGGATGCAGTTGAGGTGAAGAGAGAGGGAGAAAGAAGAATTAGAAACTGTTGAGTGTCACACACACACACAAAGGTATTTTCTGTTCCTTAGTTGTCTCATATAAAGGCAGAACTTTACTCCCTGGAGATGCAGTAGTTCTGTATTGCCTGTATGATGCTGACTGCTTTCTTTGGGGACCTTATGAGATCACATTTGTTTACCCACACTGTGATTTAGTCACATGGAACCAGCTTTCCAGGTAGGGAATATTGCCATGACCTCACTGAATCTCTGCTGAAAGGCAGAGGTTGCACTGAGGCTGTGCTGGATTTTGAGCACAGACCTCATCTTCTGCTGCCTTCCCCTGTGTGCAGTGCTAAACGAGCAGTGTGTCAGTGAGCTCAGCCCAGAGCCAGAACCGCTGTGCCCACAGCTGGGAATTGGGCATTAAATGCTCTTTCTCTGTCATTTCTGATTGCCACAAGTATGACTGAAGCAACCAGCAATGCCCCTCACCAGGGGACCCAACAAAGGAGCTGCTTGTTAGGAGATGGCTGGAATTTTGTACCCGTTGGAGCTCTGTGGAAAAAGATAATGTCTGAGGATGAGTCATGTGGAGCTGGCTGCCACTTACTGAAAAATATGTGTGCATGTGGGATGTAGCAAAAATTAGCTGGGTCTCTTGAGCAGCAATAGAATATGTACAGGGAGAGGATTAAAAATATGTGAATGTCTCTCTCTAGTGACACTCTGAAATGAGGGCAATAGGGGCAAATAATCTGGTTAAATTAACTTTTCCTGGCAATCAGTGAGCTTTTAATAGAATCTTCTGGATTTCAGTTCTGTAGATCTTTACCAGACTGTAGGCATTTTTTTTTTGTTGATTTTCCAGCACCCACATATTTTCTGCCATTATCAGAAAGGCACAAGGGACTGTGTCAGAGTCACAGTCCCTCCACCTCCAGCCCCTGGGACCCTGTGGTGAGTCAGAGATACAGTGCTTTGGGAACAGCCTGTGAAGCAGCCCTGCTTATTAATTATTTTGTTTTTCACAGTGTTATTTTTAAACGAGATCGGTTCCCTGACCAAGGTCACCATGCAGCTGCCAGGTACTTCCAGTGGCAGACCTGAGGGGCAGGAGCAAACTGGCAGCAGGAGGCAGGGAGAGAATGGCAGCTCCATCAGCTGGCTCTGCTATCTCAAGGAGTCCTGCATTCAAAGGAAATCAGCCTCTGAACTCCAGCAGTAGCTTTGACACTGCAGCTGGTTGGTTGGTTAGCTTAGCACAGGCTTTTGGAAATTTGGACCTGGGCATGGTCATGATACCAAAAGAAG